GGAAGTCGTACCTGCAGAGAGCAGGCGCTCTTGGAAGGGATGGGCAAGGAAAGAACAGTGAAGATCTCGGGTCTGTTGGTGGTGATCTTGCATTCCAGACACGTGATATCGTAACTGAGTTGTCCCTCAAATAACTGTGTGATAATAGATGTTTCACCGACACTCCCTCTGCTTGCTTTTGCGTCAGTTACGCCTCTTTTCTTCCTTGACTATACAGAAGGAAAAAGAAAAAAGAAAAACTAACAAAATGTAGGTAACACTTCAGAAGTGCCTTCACTGGGTTTGAACGGTCACTGCCCGTGTAGGTTAGTAGTTAGTCTTGTCACAAAACTCGTCTCTAAACTGCTGTTACTCGATGTTTCATACATGCAGAGTGAGCTAAATTTCTGAGACAAATTAAACAAAAATATAATATTCTGGACATTAGATAGGAGTGATTTAATGGCTCAACAAGCTTTTTATCAGTGGATCTGAAGAAGAGAAAGGCAGACACAGCAGCATGGCAGACGTGAGGATTTCAGGCAGATGAAAAAGAGGAAGAATGTAAAGTGTGGAAGGAGCAAGGAGAGTGAGAGGTGAGGATGAGGGAGCTACCAACAGCATTATCGTTTAGATGGGGGCTGCAATTTCATGTAGCATTAGACAAGAAGCAAATTAATTATTCTGTGTATGTGGGTATGAAATAAAGAAAATGACAATGTTTAGCAGCCACAGAATGTAATTCAGAAGAGGAGGGTAGGCAGTTATTACATGGAATGCTAGATGATGAAATGCAAAGAGGAAAACCCAAAATACTACAGCTGGGTTCTTACTGTCTTGAGAGCCTCATGGAGCTCATTCAGCACACACATCAGAAACTCCTGGGCATCCTGCTGTGTCCTCTTGCTAAATGTTGGGTACCGCTTCCCAAGGGCTGAATGAAAACCCTCCGGGGAAACACAATCCAACTCTCCAAGCCACATATCGGATATCAAACAGCCAAAGGCAGCCGCAGCCTCGCCATTCTCCCTTGGAAAAAACATAAATGTGTCAGGTAAAGTATGAAAAGATGGTGGCTCGACCTTTAAATGGGGGCATAATACAGGAACAGAAAACACACACAGGTACAGCATGGCTGTGACAGCCTGTCATTTGGTTTGAGGGACTCTGTAGATGCTAGAAACTAGTAGGAATTGTCATTGAGACAGCAATGACAGTAACTGGTATTACCATCAAAATGAAGAAAAAAAGTAAAAGTATGCTGCTTAAGTTACCCAGCAAGGAAATGTCTCAGGGGAAGGGGAAGGAAACCAGCTTGCGGCCAGTTTGACTGTAATGGCTTGGCAGGGAGCTGGTAGGTGTCTGCCTTGGACATTCTCATGGCAACACATATCTTTTGGAAGGAAACCAACAGTGCCAAGCAGAAAAAAAACCTAACTAGCATGAATAAACCAACTTACTTGTGTAAGGCTGCTTTGTACTTTCCTGAGAGGAAATACTCCACGAAGGGTGGCACGCTGCAGAGGCACTGCAAAATTGCATTCATGTAGCAGGTGTTGCCCAGATTGCTTAGGCCAGTGAGCCCTGGGTGCTGTTTGTCCATCTCCTCCATCCATTCCTGGAATGCTTCATACTTCCTAAGCAAATGGAGTCATACTGACACCTACTAGGAAAAAAACCCACAACAGTGGAAATCTCAAATGCTACGGTGCTTTTTGTACTATGTTTTTTAGGAAGTGTACTGTCTTGAGGCGATGTTTCCTGATGTTTCAGGATCTTCTTTATAAGTCACATTCACATTTACTTTCACCAGGCTAATAAAACAGTTAAGACTCCATCTCCCACACTAAGGTCTTCCCAACACGGTGGGATGCATCATTAAAAGCTATGACTTAAATACCTGAGGTATTAAGAGTTATTCCTAAAAGTCCACTCAGTCTTCGATTCCATACACAATTACCCAAAAACTATAACCAGCTGTAAATAGCTATCATCTTAAGCATTTCTCCCTATAGAATGCATACTATATTTCATTTCCTCAGTGGTCTGGGTACTTATGTATTTTCTAAAACCATAGGTTGCAGCCCAGATCTCCTATAAACTGGTTGCTCTTTAGACTTTTTTGATAAAATGTTACTTAATTCACATTAATAAAATTTGAGTGGATTCATTTTCTCGCTGCACAAGTCTGTCCTGGACCAAACTGTTCCCATCCTCAAGTAGGCAGAAGAGAAGTCTGAACACAGACCCTGCACAGCCCAGATGTGCTCGCTGATGTTGCCTTTCTTGAATTTTTAAAGGCTGCTATTTTATTCTGATGCAGGAGGGGGGAAAATTCTGAAACCTCGACAATCTTTGTAGAAAAAGCAAAGCCGTTTCTTTCCCTTCAGCTCAGCAACAAGTGCCCAAGTTCCTGTTTCTGGAGCTCTCCCAGGCTGACAGCCATTTCCTATCCTCTCATAGTTACAAAACAGCAACAAAACTGTTCCCTTTATAGATTTCAGTAACAGCAGACCAAACATTTCCCAACAGCTCTACTACAGAAAAGTCTTCTATGAAAACAATTCCATCTTTTATAGCCATCTTGGAGAAACACCAACTGAAGAGGAGAAAACACACTGGGACTGTCGAGTATAGCTGGGAAGCCACTGGCAGCCTCGCTTGCCCCAGCTCAGGGACGCTGCCTCTTACCCGCTTTTCTTCATACCATCATCTCTTGTCCAGTTTCATGGCATGACTGGCACAGTTCCACGCTGTCTCCCCGTTGCTTTGTGACACCATCCTGTTCCGTCAGTTCTCATCCAGGGCAACGCCCAGCCTCCCTCTCTCTCCTTGCTACACGCCACTCAAAACTCTGGGAAGAGATGGGCGCCCACCAGTTCCACTGGGCAGAGTTTCAGCCGGACCCACGTTCGTTCACGTTTGCTCGGACTTGTATCGGTGTTTATGATTCCCATGCTCTGACGCAAGGGCAGCAGTAACTGAACTGTCACTACCAAGTTTCAGGTGTAGTCTTTTTCCCCCTCTCCAAATTCCTGCAGTGTTAATTGTTGTGGCATTAACAGAGATGCAACCACAAAGAATGAAGCGAAGGAAATCACTGCTGCAGGTTTAAAAGCCAAATCTCTCCTTTTCCAAATCACACGCTGCTGAGCAGCTGCTGGGAAACCAGCTCCCCAGGAGACTCACCTTTGCGTATTTCCCAACAGTGCATTTGGGACTGGTCTTCTCTGAACGGTTTCAGCACCTAAATACTGCAAGAAAGCAGTCAACAATGCTCAGTTTGCTGGATTAATTAAATTAATGCACTCATATACTTAAGGTTTTTGCATAAATATTGATGCTGAAGGAAATGAAAGTGCATTTTAAAACAGACGTCACATAAACAACCAACACTAGTCTACAAGTAGATAATATTCAGTTTAATCTGTTATTCAATGGTTCTTCTAATGAAAATATCCTGAGGATGGTGGTAGGGAATCAAAACTGTCAAGGAAAACAATGTAGCTTACCTATTTCCCCATTGGAGATATGCTTTAAATATTTTTTTAGTAGGAAAGTCACTGAAGCATTTCAGATTTTCACTATAAGTAATTACTGAAGGTTTGAATAAGCATTCCTGTGTTTAAAAACGAGGCTCTAACAAGATATGATACTTTGTTTTTGAGAGTTAACAGAAGTGCTGCTTCTGCTTTCCTTCTCTTCAGTAGTCTAAAGGAACTTTAAAAGCTAAAGGATCACAACCTGTCTCTATTCCTAGAGCACTTCAAGAGTGACGAGGTTTCAGAAGAAGAGTGACACTTGATGTTCTCAACCAAATTAAGTTACAAATCATATGGGGTAATCTTCATGTTCCTACAGCTTCTTCAAACTATCTGGTTTTTTTTTTTTCCTCCTCCTTTGCCACCAGACCTTTCCAATGCCTTCTCTGAAGGATATTTACACTTAGGACTTTTTTTCTGCTAGTGTGAAGAAGATAATTTGTGAAAGCTGTCATTTTCCCCAGCTCAATTTGGACATGGGCTTCTCATATAATTCCAGCTGTAAGTCTCACCGAGTAAGCTAGTACTCATGCCAGGAAGATGTACAGAAATCTGTACAGCGTTAATCACTTCGAGTCTTACACACATCCCTCTACCCTCTTTGTCCCTTTTGGTCTTGGAAAGGCTTCAGGCCCTAGTGAAGGCAACACTGAGCAGAGGGAACACTCCCACACACACCCATCATACAAGTCACATCTGCTTATTTTTTTTAAGAAACGAGTCACAGGCAAAACTACCAAAGACAAGTATTGCAGTTGTAAAAACCAACTGTGCGTTGTTAAGCATTTGTCAGGAAACAAAAAGTTTCCTACTGTTTACTTACAATTTTCCCAAAATGGTTTGCCTATTTCATACACCGAATCTGGACACATTTTCACAACACCCGAGGCTCCTCTAGAAAATCTTCCCAATTTCAAGAGCCAGCCCCACTTACAGATTGATGTTACTTGGCTAAGAATACAGGATTAAAAAGGTGTAAGTACATCCCTGACAGCAACAGAAGGGGATGCAGTCAGGCACCCACGAAGCAGCTCCTAATTCAAAACAAACATTGTGAAAAGCTTCAAGATATTTTTGTCTCATTTACTCATTAAACCCATCACATATGTTTGTCTGCTACGAGAGTTTTCACTTTCCCTCCCCCTAGTTTCTGGTGTTAGTGAAAGTAGAGATACCTCAAAGGTGGACAACTGCTTTGATCCAGCATGGCAAATTCTACTGTACTGCACAGTTACTTAAATTCACCCAAATAACCTTTCAGACTAAGACAGACAGCAGAAGTCTGTAAACAAGAATAGATTTATTTTAGATTCTTTAAAGATTTAATGATATACAAAATGTATACAGTATTATATCCTTATAACATTTTACCTTTCCCCGTCAAACATAAAACACCATTTAAACAGCTATTGTGTTCGTGCCTTAGGTCTGTATCTATAAGATACACTACTGAATAAAAAAATTTATAGAGCTATATACTGCCCTTTTAATTAAAAATTACAAATTAGTACCTATGTAACAAACAAAAAAAAAAATCGCAGCATGAAACTTCAGTTGGACAACAGTTTTTTCTTGCTGAATGCTCAACAATATTTGGGACAGTTAAATTACATTTTATTGGCATGAAGGTGCATTGCAATCTCCCGTACTTTACATAATGCTAATCCAACCCTACTCTCTCTCTTAAATAAGTACCACAAATAACATAACATTAAAGATGTTTTCTACACAATTTTAAATACATTTAAAAGTTACGCGTACATTCGCTTTTGATATACTGGTGTAACGAGATCTTTGGAAGGCAGAACTCCTGAAGCAGTCACTACATACGAGGAAAAGCACTTCCAACTCGTGTTCTCAAGAAGGCAACTTATTTGGACCAGTACACACTATTTCTTCTATTAAATATGACTATACCAGTCTATCATGGCTTTGTTACTATTCGACAGTGACTTCATAAAATTGAAATGTATAAAACAAGAAATTTCATTATGCACAATTAGGGCTCTATTCCACACACACAAAAAAAAAAACTAAACAAAAAAACCCCAACCAAAAATAAAAACCAGCTTTACAGCCACGAAGCTGAATCCTGATTCAGGAGATACTCTCTCTCTATTGGAACAGATCAAGTTCCTACCTTCAGCCTCAGCCTACTGGCATCATATACACACCTCATTTGGCTCTGTCCTCTTCAAAAGGCCAGATTAAAAGACACCTGGTGAGAAAACATTAGTGGAACACTTCCAAAAACGCTCAAAGAATACTCTGGCATTACAGAGGTAGGTGCTTTCTCCTGTCTTTTGCTGATTGACAGTAAAACAGCTGCCAAACAGACAAATGCTTTACCTTAAAACATCAACTACCAAAATCCTTTTGGTTGAAGGCATATTGCACACCACAGGACTACAGAGAGAAAATCCTCCACTAAACAAAAACAAAACAAAACTCTTCTGATAAAAAGCCCCTTTAAAAAACATATTTTAAATATGTATCATTATTCAACCTTTAAAATGACGAGCCGCCAAGCTGTTCTCTGTAGATGCTTATCACAAGCTGTTAGGTCCCTAGATCATGGACCAGCCAAAATTCCACTTATAAGACAGCAATCCTTGTTTTGACATATCTTTCTTTTAATTAGTGAAGGAAAGACAAGTGACAATTTTGTGACATTCCATGAAGTCTGGATGAAGTCACTGATTTGGTCACGTCATTAGAGCATCAGACGAATAGAATTAGCTGAATCTGATTCTTTGGTGCAGCTTCCAGGCTGAATTGTCAATTCAGGGGAATCATCCTGAGGAAATATAATCTTGTCAGGTGTGTAATCATTCCTCTTCAGATCTGTACAAACAAAATGAAGTCACTGATTACTATTTCTTGAGCTAGTAGAATTGATGGGACATAAAAGTCTTTCAAAGACCTGGATATGCACATGTACTTATAAAGAGAATTTCTCGATATGCACTATGTCAAAAAAGGATGTTTTTAATCATACATGTCACTGGAAGCCTAAAGCTCTGCTCTAAAAAGTGATGGAAACTTCAGAATTATTTTATTTATAGATATTATAGCAAGTATTGAGTCAACTTCCCATGGAAATTGGATCCCTCCATGATCTGTTTTGAAGTTACCAGGATTTACAACTGAAATTTAAAAGAAATGACCTCTGTTCACATGAGAAACAACCTGGAAGAGAAATGTGAAACAGGCAGGAATCATGCAAGTCCCTTATGTTGTTCTGCTGGAGTCTAAAAGCCCGATACAGAGAAACAGTTTTAAGGTTTGAGATGAGTGTACTGTAGTCAATGCAGCAAAAGTAACTGGAATTCAATTTTTTAACACAATAGCTGAGACCTAGATGTATTTTTTAAAAAACAAATAAAACCAAGCGACAACAAACACGCACCACAAATAAACTCCCAGCAACCCCTCAAAGCAAACACAAGCACCATTTTGTTTGAAAAGCCTGAAAGTTTGCAGTCATCTTGACCCACTTTTCCTATTTTTTCTAGGTTCCTTTATAATTTTTTTTTACTGTATCTTCTGAAATCTTGATCAATCCAGTCTGCCTTCCTCACATACTGTGCATATGGATATAGAACACACAGATACTCTTAATTCCTTCATTTAGGATTTTATCTTAAAATGGCATACAATTTTCAAAGTAAAAGTACAAACCTGCTGTTGATTACTTATTCCACTCTCACAGCATGACATAACTATTTCATTATGTATCATACAACGTTTCATGACATGAGTATCTCAGCAGAAATACAGCAACTCTTACCAGGAAGTTTCAGCTTCCTGCAGCAGGAATTACAGTGATGCTTCGCTCTGAAGTTTTTTATTGCATCCTCTCCCAAATTGGCTGGACCGAACACCATATCATACGACCTTCGAAATACAGTGCACATAAACATAAGTTGCACGTGTTCTCTGGTGAAAATTTTGTAATACTTTTCTTTAAACCCTTCTTTAACCTTACCTTTTTTCTCCAGCTTTTATCACAGAGGGATCTGTCAAATTTTCACCAACACCTTCAGACAGCACATGAAGAAAAAGTTAAATTTGATACATTACATAAATACATGAATACTGAAAAGCCTTGGTATCCTTAGCTATGACTTCTCAGCTTCCTCAAGAATAAAAGTAGGGAAAAAAAATATCAAATTATATTTGATAACCTTTACCTTTACAAAAATTGCTCCTAAACAAGCACTTTGTACTTCCCAGATTTTTTCCACCTATTTTTACATCTGCTTGCAATTCCTAACTTTACTTTTCACCCATAAGAAAGAAGTTTCCTATATAGTTCTCACAGACAGAGTATCTGACACACAATTCAGAATAAATACAGCTTACCATATTGGCACTACACTAATGTGCCAAAACCACAGAATTTTTTATGGTGT